AGTCGAATCGCACTTAGGTGCTTCCGTATGTAACCTATTTAATTGTGTGGACAACGTTTTCCATAAAGATACGGTGAATAGTGTACTAGATACACATTGTAATGATGAATGTATTGTTACACCTATTATGGTTAATAAACGTATTGACAAACTCCCACTTGGTAAAGCTTCAGGTTTAGACGGTCTTACGGCTGAACATTTTAAATATGCTTCATACAAAGTAAACATTATCTTAAGTATATGTTTTAATTCTATGATCCATCATGGTTGTGTACCTTATGGTTTAACTGAAGTTGTACTTGTACCTATTGTTAAAAGCAAAGCTGGTGATCTTACTGATAAAAATAATTATCGACCCATAGCTCTTGCTAGTATTGCTTCCAAGATACTGGAGTCTATACTTGTTGATTTTTGTGGTGATACACTTAGAACTGATGATTGCCAATTCGCATTTTTCTCTGTATCTTGGTTCTTAAGCAAGTTATCCAGTATTATCATAGTCAAGGTAGCCCTGTCTACTGTTGCTTTCTCGATGCTTCTAAAGCATTTGATCGTGTTAATCACTGGACCTTGTTTGCTATCCTACTTGAGAGAAGTGTACTGATCCCTGTAGTTAAGCTCCTCAGATTTTGGTATTCTAACCAAAAATTTGTTGTTAGATTGGGTAATTGTGTGTCCTCGTCATTTTCTGTCAGTAATGGGGTTCGGCAAGGGGGAGTGATATCCCCTTTGTTATATAACATTTATATTGAAGATCTTAATTTACAACTTAGATCCAATAATAATGGATGTATAGTAGATGATGTTATGATAAATCGTCTTAGTTATGCTGACGACATGGTTTTTATTGCTCCCTCTGCTATTGGACTTCAGAATCTCATAAATGTATGCGAGGTATTTGCTATTGATAGAGATATATTGTATAACTCTACGAAATCAAAATGCATGCAATTATGCCCACGTGCTCTGAGATTTCTAGGTACTCCCAGCATTAAACTTAATGGCTCTGACTTGGAATTTGTTGATTCAATTATATACTTGGGTCATGTGATTAGTAATTCTCTTGATGATGATGCTGATATTAAAAACAATATAGGGCTTTATGTATCAGAGCTAACATGTTAAGCAGATCATTTTCTAAGTGTTCTGCTGAGGTTAAATGTCATTTGTTTAGGACATATTGTGTGAATGTGTACTGTATGACTCTTTGGAGTAAATTTAATGAAGGTTCAATAAACTCATTTAGAGTATGTTACAACAATGCTTTACGCAAGTTGCTAAGGCTGCCTAGAAATAATAGTGCAAGCATGATGTTTGTGAACAACTGTATCCCTTCATTTTATGAATATTGGAGAAATTCGATACACAGTTTTATCCGTAGAATTTCTTATAGCACGAATGTTTTAATTGAAGCAATTAATAATGTGCTTCCTAAATCCAGCATGTACCAGAGATGGTGTAAATTAATATATTAGCGCTGTCAGTAGAACTTCCTGTTGGTGAAAAGTTTCGGATATATTTACTTTTTTTTTTGTATGTTGTGTTATATTGTATATGGATATGATATCTGAAATAAAGAATGAAATGAAAAAAAATAACTAAAAAAGAAAGAAATTATAATCCACATTTGCCTTGATGTTTCATTCAGAACAGTTGATTAGGTTTGAAATATCTGGTCTGGGACGTTTTCATTTACACGGTCCTCATATCCACACACTACTCAGGGCCGTAGCCATCAGGTTTCAACCTGACCATGGACCACAAGTAAATTAATTAGGTTTCGAATTGGGAAAAAGGCTAGATTCCACCTGTATGTTTAGACTCAACCTACTTCTTCTTGACATAACTCAGGAACCACAAGTCTGTGAACTCTGGGGTGAATGGTTAATGATACTTTAAATTATTTATATATTTACATTCCTTCTCTTTAGTATAGGGCCTAAGATTTATAATGGTTGATTAAGAAACTAGGATGCATTTTTCTACTAGGCCGCGGCCCAGCCGTGCCAGGGACCAACATACCAAAACCTGGAAAGAGGTTTTGATCATGAAGATTATGTCAATTTTCTGATGCTATACAATAATTTGACATCATTATCTGTTCTGTCAGCGACAGAATTTCATTGTACAGTATACAAATCAAATAGTATTTTATTAAAGAAATAATATCGTACACTTGTGTTTTTCGCCGACAATTGGTGATTGGGACATTTTCTTTTCCTACCATAATTTAACCATAATCCAAAATAATATTAGGCCTAATAATAATAATAATAATGATAATGTTAATAATAATAATAATAATAATAATAATAATGATAATAATAATAATAATGATAATAATAATATTAATAATAATAATAATAATTAATAATAATAATAATAATAATAATAATAATAATAAATAATAATATTTATATAGTGCCTAATGATAACAATATCAAAGCGCTTAACAACAACATAAAAACATAAGGAAGGACAAACACCACACACACACACACCCACACACACACACACACACACACACACATGCGTGCGCTATTGCAATACCCTTCACCTTCAAGGCTTATCTTTGATGGAAGCTACCAGAGCCCAGCAAACTGAATCCGAGGTACATGCGTGTACACGGTAGTGATGGCGACGCTCAGGGGCGGATTTAGAGGGGGGGGGGCTAAACAGGCTTTAGCCCCCCCCCCCCTAAAATTTCATAGAAATTTCTTTTTAACTGCTTTTTGAAGGTCCAAATTAAAATATTGTTTAATGTTTTCTTCACACACATCATATTTATGGGCTAAAAATTTTACTGTAGTTGTTTTTCAGTGATAAAATAAAAATGAAATACGTTTTTTAACCGATCAGCGGACAAAAAACGTAGCTAAGAAAGCTGCTTTTGCCTTGCCTTCATGCTCAAATCTCGAAGCAAAGGCCGTTGTGTAGCGGTCTCAACGTTTGTATAATACACTAAACTTTTCGTGTCGCGCGGGTTGGTTCTTGTCTAGTCTTTCCTTGATTGCTTGCGGTCAGAGGTATTTGAATGTTTGTAAAAAAACTAACAATAAACTAAAATTTTCGTGTCGAGCGAGTCGTTCTTGTCTAGTCTTGTCTTGATTGCTTGTGGTCAGAGGCAGGCATTTATTAAACGTTTGTATGATACACTAAACATTTCGTACGGAAGCACCTAAGTGCCATTCGACTTGGTGACTTGTCAAGATAATTATGTTGTCAAGTCGACATAATATACATATCATGTCGTCATGGCGATATAGATTATCTTGACAAGTCGACATACTAAAAATGTTTTGTTGTCATGACGAGATAGGTTATCTTGACAAGTCGACATAATAAAAGTTGTATGTTGTCATGGTGAGATAAATTATCTTGACAAGCCGACATAGTAAAAATGTTATGTTGTCTTGGCGAGATAGGTTATCTTGACAAGTCGACATAATAAAAGTTATGTTGTCATGACAAGATCTATCATGACAAGATCTATATAACAAGTCGACATAATACAAATTGTATCTTGTCATGACCACATAACCTTTATTATGTCGACTTGTCAAGATAACCTATCTCGCCATGACAACATACAACTTATATTATGTCGACTTGTCAAGATAA